TTAGTCCTTCATTGGTAATAATAAGTCTAATGGCAAGATTTGTAAGTTTAGCTCTTGATTTTGTAACTTTATTGAAATGCATTTATAACTTATTTTTTAAATTTTAATAGAGAATACAGATGTTTATCTTTAATATTAAAAGGTATTAAATCCAGCAATTTCAAGGATTTGCAAGTTCCGCTCCCAATTTTATAACTTTATTGAAATGAATTTACAACTTATTTTTTAAATTTTAATAGAAAACACAAATGTTCATTTTTAATATTAAAAAGTATTAAGTCTAGCGGCTTCAGGGATTTGCCAATTCAGTTCTCGACTTTACAACTTGTTGTGATGTATTTACAACTTGTTTTTTAAATTTAAATGGAAACACAAATGTTCATCTCTAACGTTGAAAAATATTAAGTCTAGCAGCTTTAGGGATTTGCAAGTTCAGCTCCCTATTTTGCAACTTTATGATGATGTATTTACAACTTATTTTCTAAATTTGACAGAAAATACAAATGTTCATATTTAATGTTAAAAAATATTAAGTCTAACAGTTATAAGGATTTACAAAAGACCTTACTTCCTCAATATTATGTATATCTTTGAACAATAAAGATGAATATTTGTATTTTCTATTAAAATTTATCACTATGAAGTTACAAAATTAGGAGTTGAACTTGAAAATCTTTGGAGCTATTAGACTTATTGCTACTAAAGGATCAAGGAACTTTGTTGGCATTTTGAAATTGATTGGAGCTTAACTTGAATTAATTGATTACCTTGGGACTTAACTATCATTCTACCAATTATAACATATATTATAGAAATATCATTCTAGAATTACTTTCTTGGGATAATTTTGTATGTGAGAACCCCAAATAAAAATTTTCATTGAAACTATAATAAATACTTTGCTAAAGTGCACTTTAGTTTTTAAATTATTTTATTTTGATCTCTTAATTAATTTTATAAAATATCTTTTTTCAGCCTTTTAACAAAACATTCAAACTTTTAATTTATTGGCAAGACATTTTTATATGCTGATAAATTAAGTTTAGTTTTCAATAAAATAATAGTGAATGGTATAAAAAATCATTTGAAACTAATTATAGCAACGTTGAAATTAGAAGACTGAAAGCTAAGAATATATCTTATAAGGTTAAAAGACTAAATTGAAGTTTTATATAAAATTAGAGGGCTAGAGGTACACTTTAATATAAACACTTTTAATTTCGACCACGGGTAGTATGGAAAATTAACTTAATCATCTCAAAATGTGGTTCTTGTGATTGTGGCCCTGGCTGATAGATTGGTACTCCCTCAAAAATATAAGATACTTTTTTAAAAAGTTAGATATTTAAAAATATAAGGCATTTTTAATCTTTCAAAGTGTTACATTATTTTTTTTTTAAGTATTTCTATTGATGATGACTTTATATTTATTATAGAGTATTTAATAGGGATAAATATAAAAGGATAATATTAGTTTAAAAATAAATAATTACTATATTGAAGGGTAAAATTTAATTAAAAATATTTTATATTTTTAAATGTAAGGAATATCAAAATACTACATGTTGGGCCATGCAAGCGACAATACTCCTGAGTTTCCGACAATTGTTTAACCACTATAATGCAATTATTTACTGCCGGTTTGGATTAAAATTTTACCCAAACAGTTAATTTTTGTGATAATTGATTATTGAGGCAATTAATCGATTTTATCATAAGCTGAGGGAGACTGCTTCTAGAATTGCAAATGCAATTTGGAATCAAAAAGATTTGTCTCAATTAGAATTTCGAACAAAAAATCTGTCTCAATTATTTTATTTAAATAAATAATTAGTTAATGACATACATCAATTAAAAAGATTGATTTTGATTAAATTATAGTAATTTATACATCTAAGTTATCCAAACATATGTTAAAACTAATTTTTTTAAAAAAATATTTAAATAGATTGTATTATAATATAATTAATTATAAGTAAAATTAATTATATTAATTAATTATTTTTATAATTAATTATATTTAATTGAAATTTAAATGGATTCTTAGTAATAAATCTTCACTATTTTGTATCCTATTCCCATTTGGATAAGCTTTCGGACCAAAGGCTCCCTAAAACATGTGGACACCAGCTTTTTTATTGTTTATAAAAGCAATTGTTTTATTTAGTCCTTTTGTCTCTTTAATCACAATAAAAGATAAAAGTTGAAAATAATGGTTTTGGCGGCTCCGCTCGCTTGTCTTGGCACGAAGGACAACGATTCCCCAGAAACTTTTATTATTATTATTTTAAATAAAAGCCTATAACTTAGTCAGGCAATCATGTTGTTTATTTAAAAGGTAAATTTCATTTGAGGATCAAAGAAGTAATATATCTTTAGATAACTCTCAAAGAATTTTAAAATATTAGTTCAATTCTATAGAACTAAATTAAAAACAAATTAAAAGTAAAAAAGATTAAAATATTCTCAATTTAAATATTTAAAAATAAACTACCAGTCACTGTTGTCAGTAACTGGAGCTTTGCTGGCAACGATTGCCACTGGATATCTGGACCTCCATTGATGGAGTTCTAACTGTTGGCTGGACCACCATCACCGAAGCTCTAGTTGCCGGCTGAACCACCATCGACGGTGGCTGAAAAATTATGGAGAATTAATTTCTCCAAAGGTAGCTAAGGTGAGTGTAGAACTCAAAACTTTTTGGTTCACTAAAAAGCTTTGGACCACCAACTCACTTAACCCATTTAATTATATAATGCATAAAATTATATATATAATAAACTTTATTTCTAAACCACTTGATTATTACGTTATTTGTTAATCATGTAAATTTACTTGTTAATACATTAATAGGACTTGTTAATTACTTAACTTTTTTTGTTAATCCCATGACTCTTGCAACAGAAATAAATTACTTATTAATCGTGTAACTATATATATGAGTTTAATCCTAAGGATTAACCTTTCTCATGATGTAAAGTTTTAATTATGATTTTTTTTTTGTAAACTTATTGTTAGACGCTCTACATAAACTATTAGTAGGTTGTTTATGTTGTTATATATATTTGTTTGTTGGTTAGAATGAGCTCTGCTCTTGATTGACTTGATGTTTTTGATTGAAACATTGTATTTTAGAATTTTTAGAAGATTCTATTTCTAAAGGAGGTTCTAGTAAAATTTCTACAAAAATACTAAAATTTTTATTATAAGTGAACATTAGTAAAGGTGTTAAAAACTTCAATATAAATCTAATCATGTTTTATAAATAAATATTAAATAATAAATTAAGGTTTCCTTTACCACGGCTTAAAGGATGTATGTTTGTATATACATCTCGCGCCAGTCACGTCTAATTTTTGGGACGTGACAGTATAAACATAATATTTTGTGTAAATGATATTGCAATCCCTAGTGCATATCATTAAAATTCTCAATAGATCTCAAGAACTAATAAAACAGTGCCAAACATTGATTAAAGTTGAGGTCAAATGAAGAATTAGTCACAGAAAGGCTATTGCATGGGATTATTACTTCAAACACTTTTTTGGTGTAAGGGTGAAGAGCTTGAAGAGTTGTATTCTTATATATTTGTTTTGAAATTAAGTGTCGTGTTTGGTGGAATTGAAGAGTAAATTCATATTAATAAGTATTAGTTATTGTAATTTTTTCATAATTAATAATAGTTTATTGTTATATTAAGATGAAACAATTTTTAATTTGATTTTTATGTTTTTACTATTAAAATAAAAATTAATAAAAATAAATTCAAATTAATAAGATTATTTTATTTGACTGTCATTTTAAACAAGTGTTAAATAAAATCACTTTATGTGACCCAAGGATCAAATAAGGTCACTTTATTTGGCAATACCTTATGAACATTTTGAAGTAATCATCAAATATTCTTTCAAAATTGATCCAATTTTAAATTTGAAAGAAAATACTTGACGATTATTTAGAAATAACTGTCAAGTACGGTCACCCTTATTTGATGGTTAATAGCTGTCATGTAAAGGAGCTTTAAATATATGACACCACCTTATATGATGGTTAATAACTATCAATTAAGGGGTTTTTTATAGTAGTGAAATTTGTAGTAACAGTATTTAAATATAGATAATATTTAAAAAAAGCATAATTAATATTTTATAGTGCACATTATATTAAAGTCTAAAAAATACTTTTGGCTAAGATTCTTGCAGCCAAAAGGCCTTTAAAAGTTATTAGCCTGCTCTTCATCTTTCATGCTCATCATTCTCACCATCTTTATGCTGTTTTTTTTTTTATTTCATTTACAAAATAGCAAACAATTTGGTTTTCACCTGGCTCTTTGCTAAATCCATACATTTTTTTTTGGACTGACACTCCAAAGAAAAACGGTGTTATGGAATGATGAAGTAGACTAAAAAAAAAAATACTCATCGTTATTTAAAATTTTTTAAATAAAGTGCATTGGGCTTTTATCTCCATACAACACAAGTAGATCTCCCCCCCCCCTCCCCAACTCATAGCTATTCTCTGATTAGCGAAAATCATATTAGAGATACTATCAAGTATTAAATCTAAACATATCTTTTAGTAAAACTTCGATCATTGGTTTGTCATATTATGAGAACTAACCCCTTTTACTATACTCCACTCCAATTGGTAAATAGATCTTATTAAACAAAAGCAAGTGAAAAAATTCTCTTAATTAGTGAAAACCTCATATTCAAATTAAATAAATGAAAATCCCTGAAGATGATGGATAAGAATTTAATTTGTTAAAAAAAAAAGTCTCCAAAATAACTTTTTGGTTGTACCATATTACCTCCCCCAATTTCTGCCGTATTACCATGTTTAAAAGCTTCTGGAGACACCGAGGTGTGGAACATATAGCCGTTTGTTTAGTTGGAATCTAATGAAATAGAATGGATAGGAATACTTATCAAGATCTCTCATCATAAACCAGAGCCATAGGACAAAAAAAAAAAAACAAAGGAAAATGGGGAGGGTAAGAGTTACGTTATCAAAAGACAACGAATATAAGTTGTATCATCACTGTCAATACAATCCAAAACAACGATCCACACATTCAAATTCATCTACACTATATCACTCAAATTTTCCACTTGGTTACCAGATACACTGTTTTACAGGCCTTGCTTAAAACTTCAAAATTTGAAATCACCCGGATTTTTTACAGTGCAAAACACAAATTTCTAACTAGTAACATCCCCATGCATATGATAATTGCTGCTTTCTTTTCGCTTCTGCCATCTGCTCTTTCCTTTATCATATGCTCTCCGTCAAATGATTCGTGGTGCTGGAATGTTTTCATTACGTACACATCGTTTTTAACAAATCAAATAAAGCAGATCATCACAACCATTTTAGCTAGGAAACTTTGAAGTTACTGCATGCTCTGAACTGAACCTTTTCAAATCAGAATTTTGATTGATCTCAAGCATATACTCCATGTTCAAAATTATAATGCATTTTTAACCGAATCTCACCCTTCAATGAAGTAATTACCTACTTTCAACTAATCCTATCTTTTTATATTTATCTCTATTAAACACCCTACAATAAATATAGACTCATTATTAATAGGGGCACTTTTGAAAAAAAGGTAATGATTACACCTCAAAAAATAAAAAAAGTCTTACGTTTTTTAACATCTAACTTCTCAAAAAATGTCTTATATTTTTAATCGGAGGGAGTATAATTTTGGAGGGAACATAACAATCCTTATTCTTTTAACAATGGGGATCTTTCCATGGAATTCACATGTTCTATTTTTATCTTGTGTTAAATTAATGATATTTGTCAGCAGCATCGAAAGAAAAACTGTTTTTGAGCATATAGGATAAATTTCTGTTAAAAATAGAAATGATGCCTTTCTATTTTCTTAAAGTGAATTACAATTATTAAAATTTTGAAGTTAATTATAAACTTGTTGAAGTAAGTTTTGGAAACAGGAAAACTGATGTCAAGACAACTAAATAAAATTAACAAGTAACTCTACGTAGTGAGAGGTAACCAAACATTTGCTACGCGCATTTTTTGTAATATTTGATCCATTCGTAATTTTTTAACACATGATCTATTTACATGATCTATTTACGTATACATGCAGTAATAGACTAACAGTGATTAGAAAGGAATAAGGAAATGGTGGGAGCATGATAAATATATACCTGTGCTTTCTGTGAAAGTGGATTCCTCAAAGGAAAAGTCAAATTTTGGGCATTCATTTATCTGGACATCATAAAGATATGGAGCACTTAAGTTGAATCCTTTGCAGAAGTGAGCGAGGCTTGGCAATTTTGAAAGTTTCAAGGAGTAGAGATTTGAAAACACAATATGTTGTGAAGTGACAGGGGCTTCATCACTATTATAGTTATGCGAAAAGAGCTCCTCCATTTGCGCAGCATTTGATACCTCTATGCGACATAGTTCTGGAAGAAGCATTGCAACTGTAGGGGTCCTGAAAAGGCATTTCAACTTGTTGCACCCCTCCACTGTTATCCTCCGCAATTTTGGAAAAGAAATGTGGGATACATGCTGAGCTTCTTCCACCTCTTGCATGATTTCCTCTACTTCCTCACATTCTCTAATGACCAACACTGTCAGCTGTTGAAGGCTTCCGCAAATAGGGGAGGAGAAGATGCATTTCAGCTTTCCACATCCATGCACTGTTAAAGATCCAAGATATTGGAAGCTCAAATTTTGGGAGGGAGTAATGAAAGCGCTGCATATGAAGCTTAGCTCACTTAATTGTTGTAGCTCTAATTTCTCTAAAGTCAAATATACTGGGAAGAAATATGGGAGTTGATCAAGCACTTGACTGCCGTTGTTCCCACGAGGCTCTGCATCCTATGGGAAACACAAATGAAGGTCATTAATGAACTAACAAAGGAAAGGGAGCCTAAACACATTTAATAATTAAACATTCCTATAATGATTAATTTTGACCATACATTTAATAATTAAACATTCCTATAATGATTAATTTTGACCATATATATCCATTGTTCAGGTGTTTGATACTGGTTAGAAGTGGTTCAAGGCTCTAACATGCTACGATAAGTGTTCAAGCACCATTCATTTTTATTTTTATTTTTGTCGTCCATGTGAAACAAACAAAAGCAACATGAAGAATGCGACTTACCTTTCCCTTTATTCGAGTGTAAATGCTCACAGTTGCCCCTATGATTGAAGAAAATTTTGGGCATTCTCGCACGCTAATATGTGTAAGGTTCACAGCGTATAACTTGAACCCATTGCAGACATCAAGACTCGGCAATTTCTCTAGTCGTATGGATGTCAAGTTTGGAAGCGCGATTTCATTGACATTGTTACTGCTGGCTTCACTGCAGCGCCCAAAAAGCTCCTCTAACTTTGCACATTCAGATATGTCTATTCTCTCTAAATGGGGAAGCAATGGAGTGAGAGAGGAGCTTGAGAAAAGACACTTGAGCTTGTTGCAATGCTCAACTCTGAGGTCCTCCAATTTAGGAAAGCATGTTTGGAATTCGTTATCCTCTCTCAGAATTTCCTCCAACTCCTCACACTTGATTATCGTAAGATATTGTAACATTGGTAGGGTTCTTCCGTGGAAGCCCTCACCAAATACATATTTCAATTCCTTACATTCACTCAGTATAAGGTTTTGAAGATGGACAAAGTTCGAAATCTGTGAAGGAGCTCTCCACGTCACCCACAGCTCTGGCTCACTTCCTAACCACAGGCCTTCTAGTTTTGAACCCAACAGCTACATATACACAGAACCAAAGACATGTCAACACCATAACAAAATCAACAAGTGCTACTGCTTTCTTTCTTTTTTTTTTTTCCATAAAATTTTAACACATTCATATGATTGTATTTACAAATTTTGTACGACATTTTTTTCTTTTAAAAAAATTAATAGGTGGAAATGCTCATTTTACTTCACAAAAAAAAAAATTTAAAATTAAAAATTGATCAATCAGCTGTTATAATGGCCGCGTGATTTCCTAAAGAAAAGGGAAGCAGCAAAACAGGAAAAATAATTTGAATAATCATGTTGTACCTATCTATTAAAGCTATGGAATGTCGTCTACTTACCAGTTAATCCTTTGACAAAAATTATATATTCAAATGCTGGTTTTCAATTAAAAATTATATATTCAATTTACAATTGAAAATTGATCATTCAACTGTTATTTTTTCCGCACGGTACAAGTGCAGCAAAAAGAAATAAAATATTAGGCAAAGACGATATCCAATTATCATTTTTTGATTTTTTTTGTTAATTTTTATATTGTTGGAAGATGGGTAAATTACAAATTTAATTACATAACCTATAAAATAATTTAATTTAAATGTACAAGAACAACAAATTGCAAAAAAAATAAAAATAAGCAGTCGTTATCAAAATATAACTTCTAATTCAGTGCCACTGCCAGGGTCCTTTTGTAATATTTTTTTTCTGAAGCAATGATACCCTGATTTAAAAATATTACATAATAAGCCAAAAAAATTATAAAATACCACAAATTGTTATCTAAATTTTAAATTACACATGTAAATATTATGGAATAAAATAATATATTATCTATATTTTTTTATTGGTACATGGATAAGAATTTTAAGATAAAACAAGTTTTTTTTAACGTGCAATGGAAAAAGTTATAAATTATAACACAATAATATTCATATTTTTTATTTTCATGGAATAATAAATTTTAGAATAAAATATGACGTTTAAAACTTTAAAATTTTTAACATGTACAAGATGTTTTATGAGAGAAAAATGTGTTGTTATATATAATTTGTTATAGTTATTTTTTTATTATTGTAACTAAACATCAAATAATATCTATTTTTATAATCTTTTAAAAAATAAATTTATTTTTGTAAAATTTCTAAACCATCTATAAATTATTTATTTATTAATTTTAAACAAACGGATCTCAAAACAAATTGTTTTTTATATTCAAAATAGAAAGGGTAAAAAATTCTAAAATTAAACAAATTGTTGATACAAAGAACAAATTCTGAAATAAAAAAAAATATTATGTTTGGCTGAAGGGAGATGGGAGGTAGTGAAGATTTTAATGAGTTAGATTAAAAATAAAACGGAAAAAGGAGGTTAACGTTTTTAATTGTGTTTCCTTGCTCCTTCTTCTAACATTTTTTTCCTTATATTTTTTCTATAAAAATTTTACAACTCTGCTTGCCGTTTTTTTTTTAATTGGACTCTTTAAAATTTCTCCTCTTGCATTTCCATTGAATCCAATAGAGAATTAATTGTCACATAAATATTTAGAAACCATTGGAAAATGGATACATATATTAGAAAAACTATATATATATGAGCATAGTTGTTTTTTAGGATTTTGAAACTCCATTCGGGAGTTAAATCAAATATTGATACACACACACGTGAGACTCCTAATGATTCCACACACTAATAATTGAGACGTAAAAAAGAGTGCGGTAAGATAAGTAATATAAAGAAAGCAAAATGACCAACAAAAATGTGAGTACCTGGAAAAGGCGATTGTTGGAAAAGGATAACCCGTGGCAAAAATCCTGAAGACTTGGCACTTGTTCCAAAGTTAAGAATTTCAAGTTGGGTAACACATTCTCTGAATGATTGTTCCAATCTATGGCTATTGAAAATAAGCATTTAAGCTTGCTACATCTCAAAACTTGAAGCAATCTCAGATTTGGAAACAATACTTGCTCTCCTACCTCTGTACAACTCATTATTTCCTCCAATTCATTGCAATCTGATATTTCAAGATATTCCAATACTTGTACACTTCTAAGAATTACAGGGGAGAAAATTATCTTCAAATTGTTGCACCGCCTCACTTTAAATACTCTAAGATTTTGGAGGCTCACTGTTCCCATTGGACCACTCCAAACAAACTTTAGCTCTGGCATATTATCCAATCTTAGAGTGCCTAAGGGTGAGATCAAGTTGTTTTGGGAATTCATTTCAGTAAAAACATCCCTTTCAAGTGGAAATAGAATGTCTTCCACGCTACAACCCCTAACCTCAAGTTTCCCCAACTTCAAAAGCGATAGTGGAGCTGAAACCTTGTTGTATAACTGGTAGTCCTGCAATTATAATATTTAGCAAATCAATATAATATAGTCACCTTGCCTTTTTTTTTTGGCATTATTTTCATAGATATTATTATAAATGTAACAGGGAAAATTCCTCTAAATAATACAATGGATAGCACATGAAAATACATACCATATTTATATTTGAACCAACCATAATGTTAACACATGAAGCTCTGAATTTTGGACATTCCACCCAGTGCAATTTTCTCAAACATGGGCAACTTGAATGATAGTTTTTTGGGAAAATGCTAAGCAAATTTTTCAAGCCATGAAGTTTGAGTGATTTCAAAATAGGAAGCTCCATCTGAAACTCTTGATGTTCATCTTTATATTGGCCAAAAGCATATTTTAGTTGAGAAGCCCCCTCAATACGCACCTCCTCCAACTGCACAAGGCCTTGAGCACAAGAGTTTGGGAACACATATTCTAACTTATGACAATCAAGGATGGTCAGACTTTTCAATTGTGAGAACACCGAATGTGAATTGTTTGAAGCTGAAATTATTTCATTGCTGGTACCATCACCATCCTCGTCTATTATGTTCTTCAATTCATCACAACTTTCTACAGTTAGCTTCTGTAACGACAGCACAGCTCTGGCGACACGCTTTGGGAAGAGTGATGTCAACATAGGACAACGAGAAACATGTAGTTCTTGCAATTTCTCAAAGAAGAAAAGCAAAGGTGGACCGCACCAAACTTCTTTCAAATTGCTTAACGACTCCAACCTTAACTTGATTAGCTTTGTAAACAGAGTTTCTGCTTGAAACAAATCAACATTATGAGAATTTGCATCAACAACGCATTCTAAATTTGAAAAAGAATGAAGCCACAAGCTAGTCAACTCATCCATCCTTCCTACACCCTGAACGATGTCTGGTACAATATTTTTGAAACCTCCATCAAGTCTATATAAAAAAACAGCTTCAGCTCGTTGTAAAAGATCCTTAATAAATGGACTTAAAGCAAATATTTTTAATTCCCCCAAGAACAAAACCTTAGAGTGACAACCCATTAAAGTAGCATAATGTCCTCCATTAAATGTAGGGTAGTCCCCAATGTTAAGTTCATATCTCTGTAATATGGGAAAAGAGGCATTTTTGGAATAACATCCACCAAGTTTTAAAGTTGTTCTACTCAGTCGGATTTTTGAAGCATATAACTCTTCCAGGTGTGTGCATCTCTCTACTATCTTAAAACTTTGCTCTTTGATCGAAGACAAAACCAGCATCTTCAATTTTCTCAACTCTTCTAATCCTTGTGGAAGTTCCTTAAACGAACTTCCTTTCAAGTCAAGAACTTCAAGTCTTTTGAGGCCTAACACCCATGACAAATCATCACCTAATTGACAACCTTGCAAGCGCAGAGTTTGTAGATTAGTTAGCAAATTCATAGAGTATGATAGTGATGACAAGTCCACTACTTCATCATATCCAGCATTGATTTGCATTACCTTGAGTGCTGCCATACCTCTAAAATTTGCTTCTGATAATTCACATGCACCTACGTTGTTAAAGAGCAAAATCTCAAGTTTTGGAGCATCTAATCTTTGCGGAAATTGAGATGTTTGATTGCACCAAGAAGTGAATGCATAACAATCTTTTATCGACTCATTTCTTGCCACCTTCATATCCTTCTCAAGGTTCACTAGAATAGTGCGATTTTCTTGGGATGATATCCACAATGCTACATCTCGAATTGTGTCATGCATTCTCAACTGATCTTTCTTTCTCTCAGACCACATTAGCAAACAAGAATCTACAAGATTATTTATACCTGCACTCACTTTGTTTCTCACCTCTTCAAGTGAACCCAATTCTTCACACATGCCCACACCAATTGCTATTCTAAACAAATCTTCAACAGAGATATCTGAATCTTCTGGATACATAGAGCACATCAAAAAGAGTGACTTGGATTCATCGCTTCTCAAATAATCATAGCTCAACTTAAGACAAGAAAAAGCATCTCTAACACCTGGTTCCTCCTCAATTGGTTTTGAATACCTCAATTTTCCTAGTGCTTCATTCCATTCTTCTATAGATTTTCCTCTCAAAGAGGCTCCTACAGCTTGAATTGCAATAGGAAGCCCTTTGCATTCCCCAACAATTTCTTGTGCCACATCGTGTAATGATTTGTCCACAATACGAGCATGCTTTTGGAACAATGTCCAAGATTCCTCTTTAGATAAGAGATGCAATGGAATCTTCCTCTCACAATCCATCAAAGTGCAGACGCGTTGACGTCGAGTAGTAAGAAGGACCTTGCAGCCCACATGATAATCTTCAAAAGGAATACCAATATCCTTCAAATCAATCTTAGCCCACATATCATCTAATATCATGAGTATCCTTTCCCCACTACTCAATCTCACTGACAAACGTCTTGCTCTTCCAGCTTCACTTTGTTCTTTCAATTCCAAATCTAGCATGTCTGCAATTTCATCTTGAATCCTTTTATTATCTGGATTTTGGGAGATGGTTGCAAGTATGACTCGATCAAAGAGCTTTGATTTTTTGACCTCTTTGCCAACTTCTTTAATCAAGGTTGTTTTGCCGGAGCCTCCCATTCCATACAATCCAATCATGTGGGTACCGTCATCTTGGAGAGCTGCCAAAAGTTCATCTGAAGCCAACTTCGTAGATTGGAAATACACAAAATTTCCAGAAGAAAAATACTCTATATCTGGAATTTCCCCAGGGACAGAAAAGGGATCAAAATTATTCCTTTCAACAAGTTTTTTTGTGTTTTCTATCTTCTTTGCCATCTGTTTGCCCAAACAATATCTCTTCCAATAACTAGTACACCTCCCATGAAAGCAATTGTTGTTTTCTTTCATTTGCTGTTCCAATTTTTGCACCTCATCAATATGAATTTTCACTTCGCCTAGCCAATTCTCAACGGCGTCATCAATTCTTTCAGCTTTAATCATTGCTTCTTGGCGACGATTCTGCACTTTACATTGAGCTGATTCAAGCTTTTGCTTCTCTGTTTCAAGAGTTTCAGTGATTTTGCCAGCACAGAACAAATATTTCCCTTGACGTGCCACTGGATCTACCAAATATTCAGCAACTTTGGCAATAACTGATATTACAATCTCTGCCATTTGAGCCAGCACAGCCTACAGAGAACCATATAACATCAAAAGTTACATTACCAATTGCAGGTGACTGCATCCCAGCGAACATTAAAGATTTTCCATCTTCCAAAGAATCTAACATTAAAAAAGCATACCTCGTAATCATGTACACGACCCACAAAATTTAAAGAACTTTATATGAAATTATTAAAAAAATCAAATAATATCTTTTCTATTCTGATGAGATTCGAAAATTATACAATATTTGTTTCCCGTCTATTCGTAAAAATATTATTATTCAATATTTGTTACTGTAAGTAACAAATAAGAGTGTGTATATGGCGCGCTATCATGTACAATAAATATAATTTAATTGGTTTACAATAAATATATAAATTAACTGAAGCAAAACTTAACTAAAAGAAATAGAAATAATTTTTTTGAATTAAAATATCGTGCAGGATGGTTCTCAGGTTAAATTTATTATTAGTAAATTATCACGAACAAACATTATTTGATAAAGTGAATTAACAAGATTAAAGCATAACAAATATTTTTAGGGTTAAATGTAATTTTTTCCTTAGACTACAAGTCTATAAACATCTAAAATTCTAAATTTGTTTTTACTGCAATGTTTCCTACAACATTTGAAAATAATGTATTGTCACCATTGCTGTTAACAAATATTAGTTTTGACTATTAATTAACCAAAAAAATTACTCTTCAAAAATTCCAGAAAAAGATAAAAAGTTACAAATAAGTACTATCTAAAAATATTAATAAAAATTAAGTTTTCTAAATTATGAATAAATATCAAGAAATAAATGTTATTTCTTTCCCATGTAAAAGATTGAAATACCATCTTAATCAGTTACCTTGGTAGGCCACTATTTTAACAAAAAATATTATATTTATTTTAATAATTTTTTATTAAAATATTAATAATTTAATATATATATATATATATAACAATTAAAATATTATTATTTACTAGTATTCACACACAATTTATAAGTTAACTTTTAAAATTTACAAATTTTTCAAAAACTACAACTTAATTAGTGTATCAGTGATTTAAAAATGAATGTGATTTTTTTACAAATAGAAATAGTTGAGTAGTTTAAAAAGAATTCATCTATAAATTTTGGAAGATGCAAAAGTTTCAAAAGTTATCTTTTACCCGGTCTTTATGGTTGAGAAAGAAAAGCTACAAATAAGATAAGAGGAATACATGTTTAAAAGGAGTTGGATTTTATTCTCCGCAAAGGAGAGCAGAGGATAGGAGAAACCATTGTAGATCTGGACCGTTAAATTAAATTTAAAAAATTTAAATTTAATAATTTTTAAAAGTACAATTTAAATGATTCAAATTTGCAGTAGGGAGGCAGTAGAGAAAAAAAAATAGAGAGAAATCCACCCCTGTTTAAAAAGATGAATTGAGATCTTTGAATTTTTGTGAAGTTTATTTGTTTAAAGAAAAAAAAAAAGAGAAGAGTGAAAAGTGGTGTGAGATCTATATTTAAATCCATTTCAAACTCTCTCAAGCAGAAGAAGAGTGAAAACTGAAAAGTGGTGTGAGATCAGTTTAAAAAAATTAGTTGGTTTGACAGCATAAAAAAAAATCCAGTTCAAAGTTCAAACTCAAAAACATGTTGGACCTGAAAATACAGGTATGAGGTGGAAAAAAATTTCTGAACAAAAACTTTTTTCTGATTAAAGAACCCTCGGATGATATGAACTCCGCTGTATGATGTTTGGTGTCAGTATTGTTACATAGCATAAAAAGTAAAAACATTAACGAAAGAAAAAGACATTAATTATTATATCTTTATTCTATAAGGATCAAGTAAGATTTTAAAGCTTTGCGAGAAGGCTAAAACAATCTAACACTGGTTCCACCAAAAGATCATAAAATTAAAGCTCGTGAGAGAAAGTGAGACTTGAGCAAACAAGGCTAACTTTTGAGAAACAAAACGATTTCTAGTGTTGGGGTCGTTATGTTGGAATTAAAATTTTAGAGTCTAACAAGGTAACTGGTAAGGTTAAACATAACATTAAAAAAAAAAACAGTAAATAACAGAAAAAGAGTAACTTGAGATCTAAAAGATGACGATAGAGAGACTACCAGCGAAGTCGGAACAACTGATGAATCCAAGATCTGAACTGTCTCCGATGTGGCAGTTTGAAGGCTGTGAGAAAAACCCAGATGAACAATTTTGGAAGGGAAATGTATAGATAGCAGGAATAGCGTAAAGGTCTTGAAAATTGAAAATGGAACTCAGCCAGACGATGGAAAGAGAATGGAGAGGATGATGAATGAGAGAAGGAGTAGGACAATAATTGCGATCACTGTTGGAGTGTGATTCGTCCAAAATAAATGTCTTTTGACCAAAGTGCCAATCTCTTTTTCTTTGCTTTCCAACTATTTTTTTCAATTATTCTTAGATGTGTGTGTAGGCACTTCCCGTCGGGTTCTTCTTGGGTGCGTGGTCCAAATTTAATGAATTATTTTATATTTATTAAAATAAAAATTTTATAAAAATTATAAAAAATTTAATAAATCTTTTTAATCATCAACTGTGTTTATATTCAATTTAAATAATTTAATTTAATATTAAAATGTCTATAATTTTTATACATTGATCACCAGATCTACTTTACACAATTTAATTTAATATTAAAATTTTTATAATTTTATATTTTAACTACTCAAATGTGCTTTAGACAGTTTAAATTTAATAAAAATATAAAATATTTTAAAAAAATTATAAGTTAAAAATTTTAAATTTAAACTGTACAAAGTACATCAAAGTAGTTAATATATAAAATTTTTAATATTAAATTAGACTGTTAAAATTAAATCTGATCACCTGATTAATAATAAAAAAACTTGTTACAATTTTTTAATAATTTTTATAAATTTTTATTTTATAAATATAAAATAATTTATTAAATTTAAATCATGCAAATTAAAATATAAATGGTTCAGATCTCATAAGATGAGCACTTTCTTTATTTTCGCTCTGCATCTTTACTTTATATTTTTTAGAATATGTGATGTAACCAAGCAGTCCATGCTTCTTACTCCTCTCACCCATTCTCCATTTTTTCACTCTTCCTTTTCATAAATATTATTTGGGAGAAGCAGGGTGCTCATCAAGATGGATCCCGTTCTTATCTGCCATTCAATCTTTGGTTTCTTTTCATTTGTCGTTTCCCAAAGGTAAATTGATAATGGTATAATAATACTTAACCCTCTTTCAGTCTTTTCAACTCTTGAATCATTCAGTCCCAAAAAATTTAATCCTATCTCAAAAATTGCAAAACAAACTATAACGGGAGAATGACAGTGAAAGATCTAATTAATTTAAATTAAATTTTAATTAATTTTTAAATGTCAACAAAATTCTTTGATCCTTCAATAGTAATAAATTTAACAGCGAGATTTACAAGTTTAACTCTCAATTTTTTAATTTTATTAGAATGTATTTATAATTTATATTTCAAATTTTAATGAAAAATACAAATATTCATCTTTAATTAACATTGAAAAGTATTAGGTCTAGCAGCTATAGGGATTTGCAAGTTCAATTCTTGATTTTGAAACTAGTTATGATATATTAGCAACTTATTTTTTAAATTTTAATAGGAAAAACAAATGTTTATATTTAATATTGAAAAATATTAAGTCTAACAATTTTAAAAATTTGCAAGTTTTGCTCCTTATTTTATAACTTTATTATCATACATTCACAACTTGTTTTTCAAATTCTAAAAGGGAATACAAACGTTCATATTTAATGTTAAAAAATATCAAGTTTAATAGCTATAAGGATTTACAAAAGACCTTGCTTTCTCACTATTGTGTATATTTTTGAACATTAAAGATGAACATATATGTTCCCTATGAAAACAAATTGCAAATGTATCATTATGAAGTTTTAAAATTGAGAGCCAAACTTGCAAATTTTTAGAGCTATGAGACTTATTGCCACTAAAGAACCAAGAAACTTTGTTAGCATTCTAAAATTAGTTAGAACTTAACTTAAATTAATGGATACCTTGAAAATTAACTATCATTCTTCCAACTATATTATATACTATAGAAATATCATTCTAGAATTACTTTCTTGGGATAATTTTGAATGTGAGAACGCCTAATAAAAATTTCATTGAAAGTATGATAAATACTTTGTTAAAGGACACTTTTAATCTTTTAACTTTATATTAGGTTTTATTTGATCCCTTAGTTAATTTTATAAAATGTCTTTTTCCAATCCATTAACAAAACATTCAAACTTTTAATTTATTGACAAGACATTTTTATATGTTGACAAATTTAGTTTGAAACTAATTATAACAATGTTAGAATTAGAAGCCTTGGAAGCTAAGAATATATTTATAAAATTAAAAAATTAAAATAAAATTTTATATAAAATTAGAAGATCAAGATATACTTTAATCTAAATACTTTTCATTTCGGTCAAGGGCCGTATGGAAAATTGGCTTAATCATCTCAAAATGTGGTTCTCGTGATCGTGGCCCAGGCTGATAGATTGGTATCTAAATACTGCATGTTGGGCAATGCAGGCAATTATACTGGGCACTGTAGTTTAGATCCGACTTTTCTCACTGCATCAAAGAGCCCCAGAATATATACATACATACATATATATATATATATATATATGTATGTATGTATGTATGTATGTATTATATACACATCAAAAGGCCAATTCTTTGGCAACCTGAGCTTCTGACAGTTGTTCAACCAGTATAAAGCAATTATTTAGTAATAAATCTTCACTGCTTTATATCCTATGCCCGTTTAGATTCGGACCAAGGCTCCCTAAAACATGTGGGCGCCAGCTTTTTTATTGTTTACAAAAGCAATTGTTTTATTCAGTCTTTTAGTCTCTTTAACCATTCATTATTAAGATTAAAAAACTATATCATCTCAATAATTGTAACTCGAATCATAAAAAAAGATAAAAAGTTGAAAATAATGGTTTTGGCTGCTCTCTTCGCTTGTCTTGGCACAGAGGACAATGATTCCCTAGAAACTTTTTTTTTTATTATTTTAAATAAAAGCCAATAACTTGGTCAGGCAATCATGTTGTTTATTTAAATCCATGAGCCTCTCACAGACCTCCGTTCACACTTCTACTTTCCCAAGTTGATTTATTATCTCTCGGCTTATATACAATAAAACATGTCATATGCTGCACTGTGTTTTTATAATTATATATGATTAGCATATATATCTTCAGTTCCTTTTTTTGCGTAGTGCAAATAAGTAAATAATGCAGGGCAATTGAGAAGAGCAAATCAATTCTATTTTGCGTTGCTAATTATTCAAAGCTAATTGGAAGGAAATGGGGAGAAAATGTTCCTCGACGCATGCATTGTTTATATGATAGCAATTGCTTTAGCCAATCGTTCTTCGAATTTCATATATGAAGCAGCAATGGAATAACGTCCAGATTCATTTATATCGTGTATAAAATTTTCCTTCTTCTTCTTGATCAAAACATTAAGAAATGATCAAAGCTTTTATGTCGTATAGAAAATTTAATTAGAAATAAGATTTTTAATTCTTTTTATTTTTAAAAGCTCGAACAAACTTTCTAAAATTTCCCAGAAGTATTTTTTTAATTAAAAAATGAAACAAATAAGCCCTTAATTGGAAGATATTTCCCTTGGTTTGATTTTTATTTTATTGGTATATATGACTAAACATTCGAATTTGATTAACACCCTAAATCCCATAAATAGTCTAAATTCTAAAATGCTTTACAGTACGCACCTTGGCCTCTATTATTTTGATTCTCCCACATAAGATTTAGGATTCTTGCTGGACCACGTTCCCTTCCTTGGGATTTCCGCAAGTATCAGTCAGTGTAAAATATATAAAACTTCAACAGATATACAGCTTATTCTTCAAACTCCTTACAATACATGAGATCAATATTGATCAGTTCACTTTTTCGTGTCCATATGTGTGTGTGTGTTATTTTGAATATATCACTGGCCAGAAGAATTTTCTTTTGGAATTTATCAGTTTCAGCGTTTTTCTGGCAAGTGTAGGGCGAAAAGTTAGTGCAGGGGGTGGTAAAATATAGCACTGGCAGCAGGAGATCGGTTCAAAACTGCCAAACGCTGCCTTGCATATCACTTGCTGGCATTGAGCTTAAATGTAAAAGAACCTTGTGTTCACTTTTGAAGCGTGGATAAAGACAAGGACATGTTGAGTTGATGTGCAACTGAGCATAAAGCGTCCTGTAGTGAACCAAAAACCATTGTGTCGATAAATATGGTTGTTGATCCAACCCGGTTCTGTGGGCACGGTAGCAATGAGATCTTCGCGTTCCTGAGAAATTTGTTCGTCTTCTACGAGGAACTTGTGAAGAGCGGTGAGATAATCAGATTTTGAGTTTTTTTATGCCATTTTTACAGTCTGAGAAGTATAGAGAGAATAGTGGGATAGATGATGAAGTGAATGAAGGTAGTGAGATTGTTAATCAATCTAACAAAGCGTGATATTGGAAGATATCAAACCTCATCCCAATAATTCTGAATAATCAAATCATATGTAAAAAGACGAAAGGACTGAAAATGAATGGCAAAAAGACAACCAAGTCCTTATCAAAGTCAAATCTTTCCTGTCTGCAAAATGATATTGATACGCAATTTCTAAGGTCTTTAAATATCAAAACAGAAAAAGCCTTGCGTGTAAGACAATAGGAACATAATTTAATTACTCCCTTCGTTTAAACTGAATATTATTTCCTAATAAAATACTTCCTACTTTTCAACTAATCCTATCTTTTCATATTTACTTCTATTAAACATTTTACAATAAATATAAAATCATTATCAATAGGGGCATTTTTAAAAAATAAAGACAATGATTACACATCAAAAAATTAAAAATACCTTATATTTTTAAACACCTAATTTCTAAAAAAAATTTTACATTTTTGAACGAAAGGAGTATAAATTTTGGAAGGTAAATTATGAGTATTAAACAATCAAGTTATAGTTTTTTTTTTTTGGAAAAAGATGTAAATTATCTATAATCCAATTTTTCACATGTAAAATCGAATTGGAAATTGCATGCTTAGTTGGTAAATTAACCAAACACACGCCCACACAAAAACAAATAATAGCTGATGGTTGAAAGTGATCATATAATTAGTTATATATCCACATATTAGACATTTTATTTGATCTTTTTTCTGATCGAATGAAAATACGTTCAAATGTAATTCACATAAATAATGTCCAAGCAGTGAAAATCTTATAAAAGTTAAATAGAATATTCTTTTGGTGTAAACAAATAGGAATTTTTTTGGGAGGAAGTGAAATATTTAAAAAAAAAACTATGACAATTTTTTAAAATAAATAACACACCCATATATAATGTCACTTGTTTATTACAGTAGGGTTGCCCAATAATGATGCTTGTAGTTGGGGCCTTGCATATATATATAATAGTATTTTTAATTCCGCCTTTTTTGATTCAACTCCCCCATTTCTGAAGGACCAAGTGTAAAAGGATTGTGTAGGATCTAAATCCCCTGAATTTTCTTAATTTCTTTGTATTTGGGCTGTGCCCCCTTTTCACTATTAAAAAAATAGTATTTTTACCGAAATTAATCATTTTTATAGCAGCTCAAAGATTAGTGTGGTTAATATTTAAATCCACAATGTTTATAAAAAAATTATTTAATATTTAATATTTTTATTTTAAGTTTATTTTCCTAACAAAAATAAGATTTATAGGTAAAAAATAATATTTTATTGAAAATATAATAAATATATATATTCATATAAAATTATTTTGTCATATAAATAATTGAAAATAAAATATAATATATGTATATCTCTTTAATAATATATTATTTGATATATGTATATGTAGTTAAATAACATATATTTAATTTCGTATATAATAATTGTAAATGCATTTCAATTCAATTAAGCTTGGAGACGGGAAATTAAGAGTTCAAACCATAGTTTTTTGCATATTTTGCAACAAATATATGACATGACATGTGGTTGTGTCCATGAGGTGACGGGGTGACATGGCATCATCTACCGAACACATGGTAAGTGACGTGGCAAACTTTCTTCCTTAAAAAATTTCCCCTCCCCTAACCTTGTCCAAACAACCCTCCTCTTCCTTTCAACCAAACAAGCCCTTAAAAAAAAACGTTCCTTCATCTATCTATCAAGCAAACAAGCACAAAGACACATCATGCTCACCAAACTTTCTTCCTTTGTTTCTTTTGTTTTTTTTTTTGAATTGATAGCCTTAGTAAACAAGACAAAAAAAATCAAATCATGTCAGAAATTAACAAATTCTTACACTAGAGTTTAAAATAGTGATATCATGAGAGTTTAAAGACACTTGATGAGCTAACTAGTCCATATATTTTTTAACATATTTAAAAACATGGTTGAAAGTGACAATCTAGTTTTATATAACTAGATTTCTTAATTTCTAAATTAGATTTCTTAATTTCTAAGAACGTTGGATTTGGAATAACTATAAATTTAGTAAAGGCAAACAATTGCCAATTAACCATCCCAATTTTTATAATTCAAAACTAGATTTATTTCCCATAAGGAATATTTTAATTTTTTGAAAGATATCACAAAATAAAATAAAAACATTAAGAATTTAAAAGTAATTTATTCATTATTTTTGATAAGATAATTTATTTTAATATAATTATAATTTATTATTATATGTAAATTAAAATATGAATAACAATTTATTCTATTTTAAAATTTATTGTGATCATGCATATTAAATATATCAATAATAACGTATTTTTTTATTAGAATATGCTGTCATATGGATGCTTATTTGCCCTTACACTTGCATTATTTCTTTGATTAACCAGGGGAAATTTTAAAAATAAATTTTCTATTAAGTTTTACCCTTTATAATAAATTATATTAAAGAAGAAAATTTGTTCCAAAATAAATATTCCTCGATCAATCACTCATTGTCATATATAAGTAAAAATTTAAGCATCAACTTTCATTTTATAATGTATTATCTTTATATAAAAGTAATATAAAGATAAAGGGGTGAATTTAACCATCAGCAAGTTTATGAGAAATGTCTATTAGTATATATGTAGCGAGAAATAAATCATGAACTAACCAAAAAGTAGCAACCGACGCCTTCCGTTAATTTTTAACTAACGGCCGTTTCTTAAAATTGTGGGGCCTACAACACCTGAGACGCATGCCTCAGTCGTCCTTATCATCTTCTTCTCAGATCAAAACTCCGACGAAAGATGTGTCGGCTCCTTGGGCCCTAGAATCTCAATCTCAACCATGTAATTCATTTTTCTTCTTTTGTCATCCTTTACCTCTAAAGACGGCGTCCCCAATGCTAGCAGCTGCGTTCTTGGCTGAAGCAGCGCCATCAACGCCTCTTTCTACAGCTGAGCCAACGCCAACTCTGGCCTATCATGGAAGCTCGAGCTCATCAACGTTCAATAGCTCAAGAAGAAGATACAGTTCTGCAGATCTTTTATCATATGCCAGAGCTTCCAATATCAAAGTCGCCAGATACACAAGTGTCGAAAGAGTTCTTCTTGCCTCTGTCTTCCTCCTTTGCTGATTCGAAGCTTGAGATTCTCATGGCTATGCAGGAATCAATGGTGAGGTGATTCTTTATGTTGGCGCCATTGGAAGCCCTCAGCTTCTTCTTCTGAGTGGGATTGGTTTAAGACCTTATCTATCTTTATGGGAAATTGCGATGGCTCATTATCTTTCCTACGTCAGGCGGTGGACAAGAGAAGGCCATCAAGAAGATAGAGAAAGAGTTAGACTAGTTTGTTCAGTTTTGGGTGGATGAATACAGACGCAGCAGGGACAACTCTAGTCCTGGGCAAGGCAAGGCCAAGAACGGCAACTTCATGGACGTACTTCTTTCCATCGCCCGTCATAGTTGTCTTCTTCACCCACAAGCGAGAAGATGTCGGAACATGAGAGCTGTTCCAAGTGACTTCAGTGTTTGAATTCGACAAACACTTAACATAGAGGTGAGGAGTTGCTCTTCTTCACCTACCGAATTGCTTCTTCTTCCTTTGATGGTTCGTTCATGAAGATGATAGAGAGAGAGAGAGATGAGGAGTTGCAGAAAGATAGCCCATGCATTCTGAAAATGAGAGAGAGAGAGAGAGAATTAAAGGAATGTGGGCTCCCCAATTTTAATAAAACGGTGTTTGTTAAAAACAGACGGAAGGTGCTCATTGCTTTGTTTTTATTAGTTAATAATTTATTTTATATCACCTCACATTATAAACTATCAGACTATCCGCGAAAAATAATGGATGGTTAAATTTGTATTTTTATCTAAAATTTTATAAGAAACACAGCTTGCACCTCTAATTACCAGAAGATAACAAAGTGAAAGGAATTACCATTTTATTGATAATTATTCTACAAGTTAACAGTTTGACAACGTATAAAAAAACCCATGAAAATAATTAAATTAAATTGTGAAGTCAGCTAAGACTTCAAAGCTAAAGAATAACGGACGGTGCAAAAAACCTTTGTACATCTTAACACAATTTTTTTTTTTTTGGATGACCCGAATAACACACATTGTCAATTAACAGAAATTAAAAGAAACTGATATGTCCAAATTTTATGAAGAGATATGGATGTCGCACACAGAAAGTATAACCCGAATCACACCTTGTTTTTGATGGACGAGATTGTCAAGTAACATATATGGATCTAAAATTTCAAGCCATGTTTCCCCAATTTCTCTTTAATAATAAGATCAATACGCTCGCTCATGTCAATTGTGAGGAAATTTTTCCAATCTCCAACTTCTCCACGCCTAAAGTAAGCCTTATTGTCTATGCCAAACCACACTTTTCCAGTCTTATTCACTTCCAAATTGCTCAAATTCTCAAGACTACAAAGCTTCAATATATCTTCCACCACATTTCCCTTCACTTCGTCCTTTGAAAAACCACACCCTATAAACTCAGCAAGGTCCTTCAAAACTTTGATTGGCTCGCGCCTCAAATCTTCAAATCTCAAAAACATTATCTTCTCTGGCCTCTCCAAAGCCTCCTTGTAGTATCCCAAAATTTGATCCCAAAACGGCCCATAAACAACTGTTCCTTGACAAAACTTTTCAAAAAAATCTTCAATTGGAATCAGCCCTTGGGTTTCTGGTCTTATCTTGTTTGCGAAATGCCAGAATGAGACAAACATGTCCTTTGGGTTTCTACACAAGTGCACAATCTTACACCTTGACCCCTTCACAGATTCTGGCAACAAAACATACGGGAGATGGGTTGCAAAGAGCCTTGGTGATGAGAAAGAGCTCAGGTCAGGCATGGTAGTCTGAAGATAGAGAACGCCCTCTAAGAAGGGTACAAGATCATGAGGATTAGTAGTGAGGAGAGGATGAGAGTGACTACAAGTATGAGTCTTGCGATTGAGAATGGCAAAAGTTAGGGCTTTGAGCCAGGTGGTACCAGATTTAGGTGAGGTTACGAGGAGGATGTCAGAGTCATGAGCTTGAAAGTGGTTCTGACAATTGAGGGTTCCTTGCAATCGGTTTGTGGTGAGCCAAAAACCATTGTATTGATGGATACAGTTGTTGAAGAAACCCGATTCTTTGGGTAAGGTAGCAATGAGGTCCTTGCGTTCTCGGGAAAGGTCTTCGACTTCAACTTTCTGGAGGTACCTAGGAAGAGTAGGATGATTACAAGTTGCAGGCTTTTCTGCTGCCATGGTTATATTATATGAATAGTGTGGGGTAGCATGGAGAGGACAAATAGAGATAGACGATGAAGTGATCAAAGTAATGAGATTATGAGATTGTTGAAAGGTTTACATAAACTTTGAGAGGAAATTATGGAAATGACAAAATCAAAGACGAAGGCATCAGGTGGTGATTTATTAAAGCATTGGTGATTGAAGATCACATATCCGATCCGTATCTTCAACTGCCACGTATAAAATATATAAAATCGTGAAAGACGAAAGCTAGTATCACTAACCTGGGTTTTTTTATGCCATTTTTACAGTCTGAGAAGTATAGAGAGAAAAATCGGATAGATGATGAAGTGAATGAAGGCTGTGAGATTGTTAATCAATCTAACAAAGTGTGAAACTGAAAGATATCAAACCTCATCCCAATAATTCTGAATAATCAAATCATATGTTAAAAGACGAAAGGACTGAAAGCAGATGGCAAAAAGACAACCAAGTCCTTATCAAAATCAAGTCTCTCCACTCTGCAAAAATGATATTGATACGCAATGTCTAACGTCTTTAAATATCAAAATAGAAAAAACCTTGCGTGTAAGACAATTAGCAACATAATTTAATTATAAATTTTGTAGGGTAAATTAGGAGTATTAAACAATCAAGTTATATATTTTTTTTTTGGAAAAAGATATAAATTACCTAAAATCCAATTTTTCACAAGTAAAATCGAATTGGAAATTGCATGCTTAGTTGGTAAATTAACCAAACACACGCCCACACAAAAACAAATAATAGCTGATGGTTGAAAGTGATCATATAATTAGTTATATATCCACATATTAAAAATTTTATTTGATCTTTTTTCTGATCGAATGAGTTCAAATGTAATTCACATAAATAATGTCCAAGCAGTGAAAATCCTATAAAAGTTAAATAGAATGTTTTTTTGGTGGAAATAAATAGGAATTCTTTTTGGGAGGAAGTGAAATATATATTAAAAAAACCATGCAATTTTTTTTAAATAAATAACATATACTCCCTCTGTTTAAAAATGTAAGACATTTTTAATCGAATTTTACTCCCAACAAAGTAATTACCTAATTTTTAATTATCTCTATCTTTTCATATTTAACCCTATTAAACACTCTATAATAAATATAAAGTCATTATCATTAGGGACACTTTCAGAAAAAAATGAAATAATTATACCTCGAAAGACTAAAAATATTTTATATTTTTAAACATCTAACTTCTCAAAAAATATCTTATATTTTTTAATGAAGGGAGTGCATATATATAATATCACCTCTTTATTACAGTACTGAGGGTTTCCCAATAATGATGCTTGGGGCCTTTAATATAGATAATAGGATTTTTAATTCCACTCTTTTTGATTTAACTCCCCCATTTCTGAAGGATTTAGTGCAAAAGGACTGTATGGGATCTAAATCCCTTAAATTTTCTTAATTTTCTGTATATTTAGGCTCTGCCTTCTTTTCTCTATTTAAAAAAAGTATTTTTACTATAGTTAATCATTTTTTTACAACAGATCAAAGATCAGTGTAGTTAATATTTAAATTCGCAATATTTATAAGAAAAATTATTTAATATTTTATTTTTTTCTTGTAAGTTCATTTTCCCAACAAAAATAATATTTATAGGTAAAAATAATATTTTATCAAAAATATAATAAATATATATTCATATAAAATTATTTTGTCATATAAATAATAAAATATAATATACGTATATCTCTTCAATAATATATTATTTGATGTGTGTGTGTAGTTAAATAACATATCTTTAATTTCGTATATAATAATTGCAAGTACATTTCAATTCAACTGAGCTTGAGGATGAGAGATCAAGAGTTTAAACCATAGCTTTTGCATATTTTGCAATAAATATATGACATGACCTGTGGTTGTGACATGACACGAGGTGGTGGGGTGATATAGCATCATCTGTTGAACACGTGGCAAGTGACATGGTATCATCTACTGCATACATGGCAAATGATGTGGCATAAGGTAGCATCACGTGATGCATATGTAGTAGAGTAACGTGGCATAAAATACATTATTATTTTTAAAAAAGTTTCAAAAATAAACTTTTAATGATAAAAAAAATTTTATCGACAACATATACTTTTAACATTGTCACCACCAAAAATATTAGTGATGAGAGTTATGATGATGACAACCTTTTTTGCTGCTAAAAACTTTTAATGATGATTTTTGAATTTTTTTTTGGTAGTGGTTGTTGTTAGAGCCGTCAATTAGTATGGGCTCGGCCCTTTTAGGCCCGAAAAAATTGAGGATCGGGCTTCTATTTTACCTTTAAAAAGGTAAATCGGGCCTAAAAGAGTGGCTCTTTTAGAGCTCGAAAATAAAAGGACAGGCCCTTTTAGGTCCGTTTATAATTTTTTTAAAAATTATAATATAAAAAAATAAAAGATTAAATACATAACTCAAAAAAATGAACATATTAAATGCATTCATACATCCATCATTTATTTATTAAGATTTAGCTGATAATATTAACTAAGTTTAATTTTTATTGGTATTTACTTTGATGTTACTATTTGATATTAGACCTAAATGTTTTAGTTTTCTTTATTGTTGTGGTGTAAATTGATTTAAATTTATTTTCTTAAACTTAATTTTATGAATAATAACTTTTTTTATGATTATAAATATATTTTTTATAATTTTTAATTGACAAAATAATTTTAAAAAAATAGGGCCGAGGCCCTGAGGGTCGGCCCTTTAGCCTTGAGGGCTAAGGTCGGGCCTTAAAAAATGAAACCCTAACATACAATCTAGCTTATTAGAGCCAACCCATTTAGGCTCTGACCCTTCAAGGGCCGAAGGGCCGGACTGGTCCTAATTGACAGCTCTAGTTGTTGTTATGTTAGAAACTTTACCTTTAGATATTAATTGTTCTCTTTTTGTAGCCAAAAATTTAAAGAAAAAGGTTCATTTATCTATCTATCAAGCACAAAGACGCATGCTCACCAAACTTTCTTCTTTTGTTTTTTTTTTTTTGAATTGATAGCCTTGGTAAATAAGAAAAAAAAATTAAATCATGTCAGAAATTAACAAATTTCTACACTAGTCTAAAATAATGATATCATGAGAGCCTTAAGAAAATTGATGAGCTAACTAGTCCATATATTTTTTAGCAAATTTAAAAACATAGTTGAAAGTGACAATCCAATTTTATATAACTAGATTTCTTAATTTCTAAGAAAGTTGGATTTGAAATTACTATAGATTTATTAAAGACAAAAAATTGCCAATTAACCATCCAAATTTTTATAATTCAAAAGTATATTTATTTCCCATAAGGAATATTTTTTTTTTTAAAAATAACATAAAATAAAATAAAATCATGAAGAATTTAAAAATAATTTATTCATTATTTTTTATAAGATAATTTATTTTAATATACTTATAATTTATTATTAAATGTAAATTAAGATATGAATAACAATTTATTGTTTTTAAAATTTATTGTGACCATGCATATTAAATATATCAACAATAACGTATTTTTTTATTATAATATGTTGTCACATGGATGCTTATTTGCCCTTACACTTGCATTATTTCTTTGATTAACGAGGGGAAATTTTAAAATAATGTTAAAAATAATATTTCTATTAATTTTACCCTATATAATTAACTATATTAAAAAAAGAAAATTTGTCCCAAAATAAATATTCCTCGATCAATCAGTCATTATCATATATAAGTAAAAATTTAAGCATCAACTTTCATTTTATAATGTATTATCCTTATACATATTAAAAATAATATAAAGATAAAGGAGCAAATTTAGATATCAATTATTTTTTGAAAATTATCTATTAGCCCATATGTAGCGTAAAATAAATCATGAATTAATAAAAACGTAGCAACTGGCGCCTTCCGTTAATTTTAAACTAACCTCTGTTTCTTAAAATTGTGGGGGCCCACATTCATTTAATTTTCTGTCACATCTGAGACGGTTTTCATGCCTCTGTCGTCCTTATCGTCTTCTTCTCAGAACAAGACTCCGACAACAGATGTGTCGGCTCCTTATTAGCCGCGTTCCTGGCTGAAGCAGCGCCATCAACGCCTCTTTCTACAGCTGAGCCAACGCCAACTTTGGCCTGTCATGGAAGCTCAAGCTCATCAACGTTCAATAGCTCAAGAAGAAGATACAGTTCTGCAGATCTTTTATCACATGCCAGAGCTTCCAATATCAAAGTCGCCATTATTAGAGTTTACACAATTAGAGTTTGCTAAAGAGCTTACAAATTTGTCTTGTTAAATTATTTTTAATTAGTTTACATTTTAATTTAAATTTTTAAAATTTTATTTTGAGAATGTTATTGATTAAAAAATTTATTTTAATTTTAGATTTATTAACTGATCCCACCATTAATCTTTAAAGCACAGTCAAAGACGAAGCAATTAGGTGGTGATTTATTAAAGCATTGGTGATTGAAGATCACATATCCGATCCGCATCTTCAACTACCACGTAAAAAATATATAGTGTGTGTTTGAATTAAAAAATTTATAACTGAAATTAGAATTCAATTAAAGTTAACAAATTGAGGTTAGAAAAAAAATTAGTTGATCTAACATGATTTATGTTTGGATACCATTTTTTTTAAAAGTCAATCAGATAAATTGAAATTTGTTTTGATGGTTTAATTCAAAAGCCAGTTGAGATCTTTAATGACAAAAATAAGTATGAATTTTTTATCTTAAATATTAAATCTTAAATAAGCATGTTTATATTCTTTTGACTAACTAATAAGTAAAAAATATTAAACTTAAAATCACAATTAATAAGTAAAATATTTTAAATAAACATTAATTTCTTCCCTTAACTCGAGAGGATTTCCAAGTTAATTATTTCTTCAAATCACACAATTCATATAAAAAATTCACAACCAAGGGTATCACAAGGTAATATTAGAAAATTGACCAGTCATTAGTGATCTCTTCTCGAAAGGTTTTTAGGGAATCAATTTCTGAATACTTTATCTTTTCTAGAACTTCAACAACTTATCATAAAAATCAAAATAAAAGATTGAAGCAAGGAACTGGTACCACATCAGCACATCATCACATCAACACTTCAATCATATCCATACTCAAATTTATTAACAACAATGGGGAAATCCTAGTAATTGAAATTATCAAACTACATTATCAATACACATGTGCCATCTTCAAATAGAGAATTTATCTATGGCAATTCACGATCAAGCGATTATTTTCCATTTGAGTCACAAATGCTGTATACACGTGTACACAAACACCATTTCAGTCAGAGAATCACGAGCAAGCACCCACAGCACGACGACGACGAGATGAGATCCGATAGAAAATGAGAGACTGAGAGGC